AACCAAGGCACATTGTTGAGAAATTCTTCAAGATCTGTTTTTGTCATCTTATGCCTTTTAATGAAGATGGGAACATTGACAGGGAAATAGATTTGAACGAAGAAGTTTTGTAAAGAGCATGAACTGTAGTGTGATGTAAAATTACTCATGCTAGAAATTTTCATAAAAGTGACTCGGTAACCCGTGGCCCGATGAAGTTTTGTGAAGAGAGCGAACAGTAGTGTAAATGATTTTTTGACTGAGAAAATAAACAAACAAACAATCTCAGAGTTTTAGTAGTATATAGATAGATTCTTCAAGATCTTGTTTTTTGTCATCTTATGCCTTTTAATGAAGATAGGAACATTGACAGGGAAATAATATAATAGCCAATGCTCTGCAAGAGGTTTTTGTTTATAAAATTTTGTTGTTGTTCTTGACTTGATTTTTATTTTATTACCTCATCTTCATAGTTACTATTTCAAATAGTCAATAATATTGTAGGTCCATTTTATTATTGTTCTTTCTAGCACCATTATAACACATTTTCATCTCATCATTTAATTTCTATTGTGCATATATTGTTGTATAGAAGATATTTTAAAGCGATTCATCATGTGGTAAACGAAGTTTTATAATAATGGAATGTACGAAAAGTGACCTGAAAATGGCGCTAACTCGGTACACCATGGCCCGATTTTAACGAAACTTGTTTTAATCTGTTTCTATTCTCATTTCATTACAAATATGGCACTGCGCTGTTTTAGTTGTATTTAATTACAAACAAGCACACACACACAAACAATCTCAGAGTTTTAGTAGTATATAGATAGATATAGATACATGAGCGTAGATTGACAGGTTGAAAGCAGAGGACTGGCCACAAAGCTGACTAGGAAAATCCATGGTAATTAACTACCTTTCTCCAAGGTAATTACTTTAAATTTTGAACCTTTGTCCTGTTCAACTGGTCCAGAATCCAGAAGGTCCAATGCATTAATTTAATTTAATTTGCAAAATCATAATAACAAACACACAGATTATACTACAACTATTGACTACAACTTGTAAAGAAAATTTATTTTGTTATTAAAAAAAAAATAATATATATATATATCAAGAGAGAGAAAGTAAAATAAATTTACTAATTAAAAGAAAAGAAAAAAGTCCACAATTTGTGCTCTCCTTTAGAGCTGAAATCTTGCACTATCTCTATGTCACTGTTGACAAGCTTACTTATATAGCAGCAAAACTCTTCTGAGCGGCTCCAGTAATATTCTCATTTGAATATTCTTATTCTGGAAGGTTAAACTTATTGAATGTTTACTTCACAAAATGAGATTACATGATCAAATCTATTTGTCAAACTTGCAACATATAATAGCAAATGTTAATCAGCAAATATTTACTCAATAAAACAATATTTAAAAATTTGTAATACGCAGCTGTTTACAAAATAGTAATATAAAATGCTGATGCTCAATAAAATATGAATTTTAATTTGTATGAGCAAAAAGTAGAAAAATTTTGGTAATTACGTTATCATTGAAACTTTTTTTTTATTCAAAAGACATCATACATAGGCAGTAGTTCTCTAATACGACATATACCACATGGTCCTACTAAAAATGAACTGCACATTTTGTCACACACAAACACAAATGGATATGGGAAATATCCCACAACTCTGGAAAAATTAAAAATCTAAAACCATTTGACATGGTAAATAAGAATGGCATATTATTCCTCCATACTTAAAACAAATCATTATTTTATACATTATTTCACTTTTTTCTTTTAGTAAAAAGTAGAATATTTCATGTTTCAATCTAACATAAAATACAGCTTGATTTTTCTTTATGATAAACATCATTTATTTCATATCATGGTATACATGGAGCAGCACTATGGAATGTTCATTCAAAACTACAAATAAACCTGCCACCACTGCAAGTATGTATACATATATTTTACACGACCATTTGAGCATGTTAAAACATTACGAGATTCAAAACATATAAAAATCAAGAAAACCTACTTAATTAATCTATAGACCAATGTCTTGTTTTAATGAAATATTTTTATAAAACTTTTATTTCCAGGTTAATTTTTGTACACAATGAACTGCTGTTCGATTATACAAAATTGGTATTTATATTGAAAACAATTAATGTATTTCTCAAATACTTTAATACAGAAATAAAAATTAAATGATATTAAATAATGATTATTGAAAAACATAAAGTAAACATTTATACAGATCTAAAAAGGAAAAGGATACACACCCAATAAGAAGAAAGGGAAGAACACAAGAGTAATGTTTAGTGTTTTTAATGATCATTTTGGATTTAGCCGAATTATTTTTACTGTAAACGAAATTAAAACATTGTTAGTTTAAAACCTGTATTTTAAACTTCAATAACAAATTATAAAATAGTTGTTTATCCAAAACTTACATGAAAAAATATTATTTCAGAAAGATTAGAAACATTAGAAATTATAGAATAATAGAATTGAGATAAGGAAGAACCAAGTTTATAAGGCTTAAGTAGAAACTCGTTTATAAAAGATAAGAATGATAAAGAAAACAAAACAAAATTTATATCAAAACAGGTGTAGCTAAAATACCTGTATGTGTACAACAGATAAATCTGTGACAGGAAGTTGGAAAAATGTTTATAAGTTCATCTACAAATGAACAATTTTATTAACTGTACTATAACATTCAACCAAAGCATTTCACAATCTTAGTGGTTCAGATTGTTAGAATACCATACAAATGATTTATTCTGGCAAGTATGTTATTAAATATAGTGACCTATACATTCTTATCAATCATAAAATAATTGTCTGGTATAAGACACTTGTATCATAAGGTAATTTTTTAAAACATTCTAAGATAAGATTTGGAATTTGTGAAACAATAACAGAATTAGATTTCCATGTGGTATTCTTGACACAATGTTTTGAAAAGTTTCACTAATATTTTCAACATCATTTTATCTCCATCCACAAAGTCACTTTCACTTACTAGCTGTACAAAAGACTGAGACTACATATAACAGCACTTTTTTTATAGCGTAGAATGGCATGAAACATCAAAGCTCATCAGTAACAGTATATATTAAATATACAAAAAAGAAATAAATGTTTAGTAAGAAATCTGAAGATTTCCAACAGATTTGATTTATAATTAAAAATTACCCCTTAATTAAGCTATTTAGCTACCTATAGTGAAATATTACTAAAATTGATACTTTTATGTATTTATTTCCACAACTGGACATTTGTTTCATTTTTTTAATCAACAAAAAAATTAAATTGTCCTTTTTTTTTTTAACTAAACGTGTTTACAGAACAATATAAATACAATAAAATAGTTTCCCTATTCATAAATGCAGAAACAGCAGGTACCAGCTGCTATGCAAAGATATGATTAGTTTAATATTAACACAATACAAAATAAGTTGGATTATTGCCCTCTAATGAAAATGGAAATTTAACTCAAGAAAGGTGTAACGAAAATTGTTACTTTTTACAAAACAATAAAAATTAACATAAGAGATTACTTTAAGCCCTGAAAAGCTTTTAATATTCTGACCAACAAATCAATAATGATTAAAGTAAATATAAAATATTAGAGATTCAGTCCAGAAAAATAAGACATTCAATTCTGAACGACATCACTTAGGCATCATGTACACAAACAAGTGCAATTTTAGTCCTTTTCAGACATTTCTTTTTTTGGCCAGTAAACTGGATAATCGATTCTAAGTAAGAAGCTGTCTATAACTTCACTGTTTTATCCGAATTGTTCTTTGTTTGTTCATATTACTCAACATCAAACTAATATATGATGTTAACAAGTCATCCATCTTGTATCCCTGAAAAATACAAATTTAATTTTGATTAGTTTTCCTTTCAAATTTATACTAATATTAAACTGATATAACAAAGAAAAATCCCATAATGGAGTATGGACTGAAAGAAATTCATACACATGAAATTTGGGAAAAATTTAGTGTTTCTTGATTGTTTCTTTTCACCAGATTTCAAAATGTGTTGTCAATATTTCAAACACTATGATTTAACAAATATTTTAAGAATTACTGGTTATCGTGTATCATATATAATAAGCTGACATCTGGTAGTCATTAAAGTTTCAATATTTTACTCACTTTCTTTCTTATATTTTGTAATTATTTGTTTGTCATTAAGTACAAAGCTACACAACTGGCTATCTGTGTTGTGCTCACCATGTATATCAAAACCCAGTGTTTAGCATTATAAGCCTACAAACTTACTGCTGAGCCACTGTGGGTTTATTTTGTAATTAATACAATATGTTAGGTCTGCTAAGCACCACCACTGCTACAAATATACAAAAAACAACAACAAATAAAACATTCCTTTTCTCACATCTGAATAATCCTAAAGAGAATTTTCTATACAAATTCCAGACAATGGTGTTTGTCAAAAAGAAAATCCATATATAGGAAATAGATTAAAGAAATTTTAAAAATGCTGTTTATTTATCCTATAAATAAATCTTCAAGACCATAAGCTGACAAAACACTTTATAGACATACTTTATATATATATATATATATATATATTTTAATTAGGTAATTGAGATTACCAGAGGAGTTTCACACAAGAGTTTGTTCCCTCGCACCAAGTTTCCAATGGTCATATGAAAGTAGGTGTTCCCACTGCTCCAATTTGAAATGCGAGTAAATGGATGGGTGACTAGGATGTCCTAGAGAAGATAAAAAACAATGTGGTGTCATTAAACTCAGAAAAAATATCAAACAAAGCAGTTACAATCATAAAATTTACTGTTGCTGGCTTAATTTATAATTCGGTGTTAAAAAAAACAATATTTTATTATCTCATTAAGGGCAACAACATTCTTATTTTTTGGCAAGATATAACAAATAAAATTATTTTAAATTATATATAAATAGAAAATTATAACTGCGTGCATGTGACACATGAGTTGATTCGTATATCTAGTGTATAATGAGGATAAAATTAGTAATAAACAGAACTTAGAAATAAATAACAGTTAATAACTACTGAATTTCGCCCCCTCTAATTCCTTTACAAATATAAAGAGCTCAAATGTGTCAATAAATAAAAGTTATGAAATAAAGAAATAAAAACAAACAGATTTTCTGATAGTTAGAAACAAACTGCAAAGCATTACAAAAAATATTTCTGAAGTTCATCAATAACCAAAAACACCTGAAAATAATAAATATAAGTTGGGCCATGTCATTTTTTATAGAGTTGCTTAGTTATGTTTCTTGAAACATAATACCAGACAAATATAAGAAATTCCTTAATCTTTATAGATAATCTTCTTAAACAATATAAAAGAATGTTATAATTATCAAAAAATCCTAGAATGCAATTTTTGTTTCGTTAGCTTGAAACTTGAAAATGATTATGGATGTTGATATAATCAAAACTAGAAAGACAAACTATTATGAATGCTTTTCCACATTTTTCGTCAAAATTTTCATGTGACCATGAATGGGACAGTAGTATAACTAAGGAGGCAGGATGATACTGCAGCATTCAGGATTACTTTTTCATTTTACGTGTCTGAGTGAGACAGTGAGAGAGAAGCGGGAGAAAAAGGATACATTAACTGCTCCTTCTTGGAAGGTTATTTCTTTTTAGTAATAATAAAAAAGGTAAAAGAAGAGAAAACCACATACACATCGAAGAAGCATTCATAAGGTTCTAAAGCCTTGTCTTGTTATATATAGGTTAGGCACAAAATAAATTTGAGTATAAATGTATAAGTGGTGGGAGAACCATACAAGCTACAGCTTTGCAGTTTGAACAGGTGTATAAAAACATGTGAAACATATATTCTTGAAGAATCAGTCATCACATGACCCTTTTGATGGACAAATTGAAAGTTATTAGAGAACAACTAGTACAGATAAGTTTTAACCCTCAAAGTTAGGACATCTTTACAAATTCTGGGTGATGATGCTTCAGTTGACAAAGCATGACATTTATTAGTAATATGAGCATAATATTGAATTACAAATACTACATATGTTACTTTTCCAAATCACATAGTTGTTATTTGCAAAATTCTAAAATTTCTTTAAGTTCTAATATTGGAATATACTAAATCCAACTTAGATCATGCAGAAAATTTCAGCCTGATATATTAGTTTCTGTAGCTTGACTGGTCAAGGAATTTATCTACTGTTTCATGAAATAGTTGTATTGTGTCGTTCTTGACCTTGTGTTTGGGAGACACACTGGACTATCATAAGGAACAGAGATTTTTCTACATTTCAGTTCCTGTTCTCTAATTGGTTGCTACAAAGAGAATGTGTATTGCAAATGTAGTTTTGGTAGTCTCAGATAGAGATTCATTTAAACTTTTGAAGAAGGCAGTTGGAACTCTTTGGAAAACCAGTCTCTTGTATTACCTTATTTCACTGCTGATATTGGAATTTTATTCTACCCTTATTTTAATTTTAAGTTTATTCAGTTTTATTTCACTTTAATTTCATCTTCTCAAATTGGAAGAGATGTAATACATTTGTAAATGGAGCACGAAAGAGAGTCCCTTGTTGTGTTCATCAAACTTGTTTATTTCTTCTCATTTGCTTTTGCATTGAATGAAAGACCTAACTGGCAATGGTATATAATATTTTACACTGTTTGTACTGAAAATATCTATAGCATGAGTAAAGAATAACATGACTCAATTCGTCAATGATATTATGACATAAAAACACAGACACATTAATAATATTACAGTCATGTCCCAAGTTATTTCACACAGTCAGTTATTACATGATCTCTCTCTCTCTCTTGTGGCCAGGACAACTTACCACAGACAAGATTTTAACTGTCAAAGTAAGATCATTCTATATTCATGTGTGAACAGCACCTTCTCACTCTATGTGCAAATATTCCTGTGATTATTAGATTACATTTAAAGTTTCATTCATATTTTACTATCCTTCTCATGAAAATCCATTAAAATAAAGTGTACCATTGCACAGATGTATTTTTATAGACCTAAATTACCCTCATATGAATAAGCTAAGATGACTAGAAACAAAACTGTTCCTTCAAAAATATTCCCATACTACTTCTAAGAAAACATGTCAAAAACAAATATCCTGAAAGATAAGTTTGATTTTCTGTAATTCATAAACATGATAAAAACTGGAACTCCATCAAAATAAAATGATTATGGTGCTTAATAACGAGGTGAAACTGTCCTTACAAGTTTCAGGCATATGCTTTTACTGAAAGTATGCTGCCACATTATCAATACACAATTAAGCTGGTAAATAAAAATATTTAAAAAACAAGTTTATAAATAATATTTTGAAAAAAAAAAAAAATTCTCACTTGAACAAGTGTTAAATACTTACCTTGGAATCTGGATCAATTAAAGTGACTCCATGTTTATTAATAGCAATAAGCAATTGGTCTGGAAAACTGGGGTCAGTTGTTTGCTATGTAATAAAAGAAAAATTCCCACTTATTTCATCTATAATAATAAAAGAACCTGTCTGTGTATGTGTGTGTGACCGCCATAGCTCCAAGAAGAAAGAACCTGAAGACCTGAAACTTTGCATCCATACTAAGAAGATTCTGAGGATGTGCACCTGGTATTATTTTGTAGAAATGACTCCAAAAAATTGGTAAAAAAAGTTGCCAAAATTGGCCAAAAATTTGGACATATTTTACCAAAAATGAACAAAATTCAACAGAGCCAGTCAAAGGCAACATGAAGGGAAACAAACCCATAAGGACTTCTCAGGACCCATGGAAGAGATCCTTAAGATACAAGAAAAGGTTTAAATAAATAAAAAAACTTTGGGAAATGACATCAAACAAAACAGTTCAAGAATTTTGGTGCATGAAATGACAATAGAGCTGAATATTTTTAATTTTCCTCAAATTTGTACGATCTGAGAATGATAAGCCTCAGATCGTACACAAACACTCGAAAAATAGTCTAATTTACCAAATTTGAATATGTAATTTTTCATTCTATTTATTTAAATTAGGAAAATGGCACCAGCAATGGTGCCGGCTGCAAGGTCAGCTAGGCTAAAAAACTAGAAAATAAAGTTGCAATTATTTTCCATCTGTATTAGTGGACAAGAGAAAATAAGAAAAAATAAGAATGTAAAAGTTAAAATTAATATTACTGCTTTCAAAACTTTGATTTAAATTAAGTTTGGAAAAAAGCTGCAAACAAAACTTGAAAAATACTGATGATTCTGCAATAAGAGTTCAGATGTAAATATAAAAACAAAGTGTAAAAACAAAATAAAAATATTTAAAATAGATTCAAAATACACAGACAAAGTTGATCAATAAAATATTAATATAACAGTCTGAGTGAAGCATGGTAATTTGGCTAGCTTCTTAATAATTTGAGGTTCTCATGAATAAATATATGTAGATACACTTTTCCTTAGTTATTTGTTTTAAGTGAAAAAACTGAACAATATGTTGTTGGTCAACAATATTCAATAGAATACAATAAAATAAACTGTAATTATACATTGAAAATGTTTGTGTTTTCTTTCTTCCAAGATACTTCCTGCTTATCTTACAGATGTATATATCTTTTTAATTTAGTTAATAATCACTTTAGCCATTTTACGAAAATCAGTTGTAAATATTTTGAGGATTAAAACACTATACAAAACAATATAACACAAAACCATGTGCCATTATTTGTGAATCTTCCAATAAAGAAGGACAAGTCTTTGTACATTCTAAAATCTTACAGATATGTTATCACTGATTTTTTGCACTGTAGATCAGTTTGTACAAAAACCAAGCAGTGAAAGTGTACTCAAATTTGTAATATCAAGACAAAAATTCAATTGTAAGATGTATAAATGATTAACTAAAAACTCACAGACTGAAAGACTTTTTTAAATGTAAATAAGAATAATGAAAAATTTCCGTTAGTTAAAAAATGTTCAATATATTAAAATAAACTTTATTTTTATAATTCCAAATTAACATTTTTTCTACATGTCAATTCCTTAACTATTATTTCATAATCATACATTGAATACAAATGATTTGAGACAGAACTTGGATGTAAGACAGAGCAACTTTTACTTTAGTTTATGCATTTATTGTTATTTTAATTTATTAGCAAAACGTATTCAGTACTCACTCACACTTTTGACATTGATTTGATAATTTATATACTAAAAACAAAATAAAAACAGCATTTGACTATAAAACTACTGTACACCACAAAAATAAAAGACTGGAAAAAATAATTTAACCTACACAATTTAAGCACAAAGCTTTGCTGTGTTCTATTTAACTACTTATTACACAAACAGAAAAATAACTTTATATATGTGCTAAGCATAATGAAAGATACATATACATTTAATTTTTAAACCACACAAAACAATATTGTTCTAATAAAGTTCAACGTTTAAATCATACTCGGAGTTATGGCACAATGTCCTACCTTTACTTCAAAGAAGGCAGAACCAAATGTAGGCCACTTGTATATTATTTTCAAAAAGTTAATTTTGGCTTCTTCTGGCTTCATTCCTGAGTCTTGGTTGTATGCAGCAACAATTGCCTGAAAAGACATTTGTGCACTCACAGTAGTCAAACTAAGCCATATGACCATTAAACCTTCAATGTAGCTGTGTGACAGTTTTAAATATCATATCTCCTTTACAGAAACATTTATTAAAGGAAATTCTAGAAAAATATGAATAATGGAATATGATGAACAAATATGTATATTAATAAACACTGTACCTTAATTCATAATGTGCCTCATTCCAGAAAATAGAATATAAGCAGATTAACAACTGCAATTTGTAACTGCATATAAGCCATTCATACATTTTCCAAAACTGAAGTTTCTGAGTGAGAAATGCTTAAAAAAGCAGTTCATGTTAACATGTTAGCATAAATCTTCAGTTAAAAAACTTGTTTATTATACAATAGAGTTGTATAAATACATTATTGCATAAAACAAACTTGCATTTATATCAAGGCAAACTTTAAGTAAATATTACATATTTTAGGTGAATTTTGAGAGTATTTGCTAATGTTAAATCTTGAACTGTCTAGTTTTTTAGTCTTTTGATAATAAGCTTCCTCACTTTGAAATCCTGTTCACACCACTGACTGAATTAGTGAAAGATGTGTTTTAATAAAATACTCTTAGAAATATTTCCTGTGACTGATGGAACAGAAGTTAGTTGCAATCAAAGGGAACTTTAAAGATAGCTGTCATCGAATTATTTAGAAAAGTTTAATAAAGGAAAGTATGAAAGTCAAAGTTTACAAATTAGTGATAATTTTTAGATACTGAAGAAACAGCAGCATTATTTTTAAATTCATTGAGTTGTAACGAGTACAGCAGCTATAATAATATAAAAATTGTAAGACATACAGTAACTACTTTAATATTATATGCAAGATATACAGAGAAAAGTGTAAAAATACAAAAATGAGAGTAAATGCAAGTGTGAATATATGTTTAAGTGCCAAGTAGCATTGTATCATCACATCTGTAGGCAATAAATTAATAAAATAAAAAGCATTTAAACAGAAATATGTATAATAATCTCAAACTTACCCTTTTCCAATCATTGAGAGACTGTTTTTTGATCAGATCTGCAGGAACTAACTCTCTGAGCATAGTTCTATAATAGTAAAGAAACTAATGAAATGTCAAACAACATTTTCTTTTATTACATAAACATTCCAAGTTACAATTATCTTTAATGTTCAAAGTAAACTATGTGGGTAAGGCTTTCAACTAGATGCTAATTCATGATTTATTTTCTACATTAGCAATGAAAACTTGAGGTAAAAGATAAAAAAAGGTTTTGTATGATTATGTAAAAATATATCTATGGTTCAGTAACTAGGATTGTACAAAAAACATTGCAATGTGAATTAAGTTCATAAGTATTGGTATAAAATAATCAGTTCATGAAAAAATCTATGTAGTTTTAAAATAAAGAATAACTAAATGCTCCAAATTCCTTTACAGAGTCTAGAATAGGAAAAAAAAAACAATCATGTTAAGTATTATTTTCAGAAATGATGACAGCAGAAATGAAGTTTCAAGTTTTATATAAAAACTTATTACAATTCTACCAATAAAATGTTCTACAATGCCAGTGTTCAAACTGAAAAAAATAATCAAGAGCTGAAATGTTCATTTTAATTCTATATTTTTCTTTTATTTCTTCAGTTTATCAAAGTTATACCACCACTTAGCATATGTGTTGTATAAAAGCCATTAAATATGTTAATTCATTAAAAATTCTGACTCGAGTAATATATATACAACTTACGGAATAGCAGGCAGTTCTTTTTTACTGTCTCCAAATCTGACTCTATAGATAAGAGCAGCAAGGCGTGATGCCTCCTCTAGGGTACACTTGTGGTATCCACGAAGAAGCTTGGGAAGTTCCTGTTAAGTATAAATACAGAGTATCGCATATATACATACACAAACTAATAAACAAGAGAGTGCCACCTAGCAGAAGCTGGTAAATTGTAGATTCCTTTTAAGTAAAGAGAGGTGGATGTACAAGGAATCACAACTGAAATAATTAACCTGTAAAATCTAAAAACACATACATGCATAACAGTTAGAGAGAATGCTTTCTATTAATAAAACATATAAAAATTAGACTATGTTATATAATATTGAAATTAATAAATTCAAACAAACTTTTTATATACAGTCAGAAAAATACACACACTTATATAGATGACAAAATATTTAACTCTTACACGTTTGGCAATAATTACCACTTTGGTCATCTATATCTTGTAGCAAAACAAACAAAATCTTAATGTACTGATATAGAAAAATTTAACCTAACGTCCATCAATTAAAAATTAACTTATTTGTGATCAATAACTTCAGAGTTCTTTGGCACCAGAATGACAACTCTTTGAAAAGGTAGTTTATAGCAATTTCTAGACTGGTTATTCCTCTTGGACAATCACAGGTTTGAGTATTTTCTCAAAGGACTGAAAGAACTTGCATTTCAAAATTGAATGGAAACAATAATACTTTTTGGTAACATAGTTTGTTTTTTAAAAAAAAAAAAAGATAAAACTACATAAGCTAAAATTACTAAATATGTTACCTATTTTTAGACTTACAAAGTTGAAACAAGTATTTTTTGGAAAATGATATCAATCACCAAGAAAAAATCTAGGAGATAAGCATGATTACAGATCAACTGGTAACTGAAGTTAAGTCTCAGGTTATGCTCGGGCAACATTTTGAATAATTTTGGCTTGATTAATTCAACAATTATACTGTTTGAAATATTTGTTTTCTACATTATTTCAAGTAAAACATTTTACTGTAAAGTATGCAGCCATTGAATTAGTGGCTGTTGATTGTAGCCAAAAAGTCATGACATAATATTTTGGATACTTGTATAAAATTCATGATAATGAAAGTGTGCATGTAACTTCAAAGACATAAGTGATAAAAACAAAAGAAGTGAATGGTAACAGCATTTGGTTAAATGAATTTCCTGTCCAAGATGAATAATTGCATATAGGTGGTAATAACACATTAATTATAAATACAGATTACCAATAAACCACATCCTATAGTTCTTGGTTTTAGTTTTTCAAATATTACAGTATTGTAAGTGAAACTTTACCTGGTGGTAATGGAAAATTATATCAGCATTCCGGTCTTTTCCAGGCACAGTGTTGGTCCACAACTTCTTCATGAAGAAAACTTGGTAAGTGAACTGTGGCATGGCTCCTTTATAAACAAATTATATAAAAAAATAATTAAGTTGTGTTAAAGATATTTTTCAGAATATCAGTTAATATTTAATTCTTAAACTATGTTTACATAATTTTCTAATCTTGTGAAATTGAAAGTAATAAGGATTTTAGAAATACTGCTCCACCTCATTATCCAGAAATACAGCTTAGAAGTTCTTTGTTCTGCCACATCGTGCCATCTTACAATTTTTTTTAACAACTGTGTATTTGTTTTCCTTTTTAATTTTATAAAAAATATGAAATTTTTTTCAAACACTACATAGCAGTTTTTAAACTCAAAATATGTAGGATATTTATGTTGTTTTCTTTAAATCTTTATAAATGTATGTTACAACTTCACATTACTAACTTTCATTTTATTGATTATGTGCTAAAAAAAAGGTTATACTGAATTGTTTTTAGTGATATATTATTAAAATAAAATTAAGTCAAATTCAAAAACCCAGGTAACAAATTTCAAGTAAAGATAGAAAAGTGGAAGTTTCAGAAATAGTAAATGATTGTTGTATTCATAAAAAAATAAAAAATTACCCTCTCTTGTAGGTTGAACAAAAGTAATCCTGAATTTTTTTTTGATATACATTACAATAAAACTAAAGAAAATTCATAAACTCAAATAAATTTCAAGTAAAGTTAAAAAGCAGAAGTTTCAGAAATGGTAAGCAATAATTTTGTTCATAAAAAACAAAACAAAATAAATTACCATCTTTAGTAGGTCGAGCCTTTCGGATCCAGTCTGTCAGGTGTCGTACAAAATCGAAGAAGAAATCCCCTTCTGGCACACTAATAACTGTGGAGACAGTACCAGTCAAGTTTCTAATGGCAGCTACAGCTTCAAGAAGAAGAGTGTGGTTGGCAGTGTGTCAATGTGACACAAAGATGAACAGAGGGTGGGAAAGGAAAAGACAGTCCTATAGGAAAGAAAGTGTTAATCTAAACAGGAGGAAAGCAGTGGACTAGACCTATGTTTCCCTTTAGTAAGGATTGTGAAGGTTACTTAAATACCCTAGAGGGATGAGCATTCCAATCCTACAGGTATTGTTTACAGAAGTACAAGTGTTAGTGCTATGAAAGCAGAAATGTGAGATTGAGGTAACATAACCTCAGCAAGAATACAAATTAGCAATAACTATCAAATTCATTAAATAAGAAATATCATAAAATAACTAAAACAAAAACTTTTAAACCAACTTTTATAAAGTTAATGAAGATAAATGTAAAACAACAAACAACTTCCCAATCATTGAATAAAAATAAAATTATGAGGAAACAAAATTTAAACATTGCGTTATGAACATTAGACTCATTTTAATATGTATTAAGTTTTATGGATGGAATGAATAAAGAAAAATATATACATACATATGCATATGATGTATGTTGGTTTAAGAAAACAAACCTTTATCAGCTATTTTTACAAACAAACTAAAGCCTTCAGCTGAGTAAAGATTGAGTCGTTGAGCTATGTTATGGCAAAAGTCTTTGGCTCTTGTGCTTGAATCAACTTCAAACGCCTAAAAAGTATATATAATTGTGTAAGAATACAGTGAAAATTTTGGAAATAAATTTAAAATGTTAAAATATATTAAAGCTATTATTTAGTAACTAAAATGTTAATTTGATAGAAATCATGTGAAACATAAATTTAAATGAAACTTACTGGATATGGCATAAAGATTTATTGGTTTCATCTCATTGTACCCCTTTCTTTTTTATATCACAACTGTTCCATTAAACAATTATATAAAGATAAAAATATGAGGTAATACGGATTCAAAGGTCATTAACTCACAAAATATCAGTAACCCTTTTGTTTGGCTTCTTTCTGTAGTACTTATTCAAATGTATATTTCAATATTTATATCATCTGTTAACCAAGGCTACTTTAAATTTTGTTCCTAATTCTACAAACCCAGTATCCATGGGAAATAACAATAAAATTAATTAGTGATTACGTTACTAAGATAGATACTTCTTTCACATTTTTTCTTATACAGTGTTCTATGTTTTAAACATATGTACTAATTACAGAATTGAGGAAAAAGAAGGCAATTGTACATTTCACAAATACATCATTTATTCACAACCATGGTTTCGCTAGTAAAGGCCTCATCAGGTACAGTGAATAAATGATGTATTTGTGAATGTATTTTTTCTCAATTCTGTAATTATGGAGTTTCATCAAGTACTGACAATTTCAAGTATCAATTATATATGTATTAAGGCTGGCTTATTCACACATACATGTTTTTTTTGTGTAGCTATATATCCAAACTATGCTTACAAGCTACGATACTGATCCTCCGTAGCATTTTTTAATATCTCTGAAAAAAATATAGCTTCTTAAGCAATTGGGTTGGTAATTTTTCGAAGAAATGAAAACAGAGATTGAGTGGGATATAATTCAGACCCTACTTATTGCACAGACGTCAACCATTCCTATTTTAGAGGAATCATTTCAAATAAAGAAAGGTAAAGGTGAAAATATCAACCACAACAATTAAAATATAACAGTAAATTGTATCCTGATCAGAAACTCTTAGCATATTTGGACACAACCATAACATGAAAATGGCAAACAAAATACGAAAAACAAAACAAAAGAAAACTACAAAAGAACAAATGTCATTTAAGTTTAATAGCAAAATAATACCCATAAGGTGAACTAAAATAACAACAAAATTTCAACCACAATAATTAAAGAATGTATATGTTCTCATATGAAACTTTTGCCAATCATGGATCTTGCAAATATTTAAGCCTGAATATACTGCTGACTGGGTGGGGATTAAATCATCCAAAATAAGTGAAAACCATGTATTTTGTAAATTTTCCTATGCAGATTTCAGCATTACTAATGGAAGGAAAATGACTGCAGAAATTAAATAATTTCTATTTTTCTGCTCAGATTCTGAATTTTTTTAGGTGGCATTTCTACAAGTTAAAGTTGGAATTTCCATTTATTGGTTTGAATTCTACTCAGCCTCAGTTTTCACTTCTTCAGAATAATTTATAAAATTTGCTTTTAACACTTACAGAACTAAATCCTTGAAATAATAAGTGTAGCTTTATTATTATACTAGGCTGTGTGTGTGTGTGTGTGCAAGTTTTGTTTGTGCATAAATGTATACTTGAAATATTATCATGGAAATGAGCTAAGTGTACTCTACAGTATTTCAGCATCATTTAAAACACAAATAAGTTCTATAATCCTGGGTAGCATGTTTGTGCTTAAATATGAACACTTAATGTTTTGCAGCTTACTACAAGTTTTGTAAATAATGTAGATGGTTAAGTATATACTGTGTTGTCATTCATATCACTGATCTTATAATTTATATTCTTTTAACTATTTCACATTCTTCTTTCACTTAAAAACAAGTATATTTCTTACTGTGATTTTTTGAAATTATTGTTATTTTCACCTAAACAAGCTCTTATCTGTACAAAAATAAAAACAAGCTTCCAGATAAAAAGATCTAGTCATCGTCAGAACTAAAGCATTTTACTTTAAAACAAATATCCAATAACCTGTTCAATAATGGTAATGATGGAATCTGACATAAAGAAAAGTTCACTTAAGAAAAACAGCAAAAAAACGAGCACTAACAGAATTAAATTTCCTTTTCATACACTCACCTCATCAGTATCATCAGGAAAATAAACCTTATGGAAGATTTGGGTGGTTTTGTGTTGTATAGCTTCTACTTCCACAAGATGGGGTGGATATCTTCTCTGTCCAATTCTTTTTTTTATGGAAAATAAACCAAAATAAATTTACTGAGTGTATTCTTTTTATTTGATTTTAAAATTTTAACATATTAAAATGAACATATGGTACTTTTCCCCTATAGAAAGGCTTCATAACAGCTTACATGCAACTTACAGGAAACTGATAACAGAATGATATTCTTTATGTAGTTATTTCTACATTCTCTCACCCCCTTGTAGTTTTAATGTTATTTATCTAAATTTACAAAAAATGGACATAAAACTCAGTTTTAAATGTTCAGGTACAGGAACATTCATTTTTGATATATTTTCCGATGAGGTGTTTGGGAAACTAAAATACTCAGTTTTCCAATAATTTTTATAGTAGGAGAACACAATATGTGTTCAAATTGTATGCCATACATTTTACAAACAAACTAAACTTTCCAGTTAGGTAAAGATTATTTGATTACATTAATGAGAAACCAAAAACGTGATTACTCAATACCAGCAAATATGTTTTGTTCTTTTAGGCTTGTGAAATAAAACACTTTTGTGTCTTTTCTTTTTCTCAACAGTGAAATTTTTGTATAGGCATTCCAAGATGGCAAAAGCTGTAAAATTAGTAATTAAATTTTCTGATGATTTACCCTACAAATTTAAATGAACTTAAAACACAAAGTAAAAGTACAATTTAATCTCATGGAAGACCTATCGTTACCATTTACTGCTAATAAATCTCCATTCCTTTGTCTTTATATATTCTTATCTTAAAGTTTGACTTCAGCTATTATGTAACTATGCCACTAACAATAAATATTATGTTTAGAATATAAAGATTAGCTGAACGTAGATAGCATCAGGTCCAACAGATCAATCTCATATTGGAAAAAGAATGTTGACTATAATTATGAATTTACTAAGTGAATTTACATTGAATGTGCTAAGCTTATAGTAATATGTATAAGTATCTTGTGAATAAAAATATCAGGTGTGTTACTAACTAAATTATCTATACTCACGATATGTCTGTGAATTGCCAATGTCAGTTTGACTCAGACTCTGACAAGTTGTAGTGCAAGGTGATGTTCATGTGAAAAATGAAATACTTTTGTCCATCATACAGTTTGCATATTGCATTTGCATAACATCTAGAACTTCCAAAACATATATCTACAGTTTTTTTCAGTATCCCTGTATATTGTATCTGATATTTTCTCTACCATGAACTGTCACTAAATTAGGAATATAGGGTAAAATGAATAGTTGATAATACTGACATCAAATACACGTTGAATAACACTGTGTAAAAGGTTGTGGGATGCACACTTTGACCCCACCTGTGCACATAGAATTAAGAAGAATGTACCATTTTTGTGGAAAATGCATGTTCAACCTAATTACTCCTAGGAGAACTGACAATGGTCAATATCAGGTTTATTCAAATTAGTACCTTATGCTGTAGGTGATCTCATGGCTTTAAGTTTTTGATGTTGTCTATTCTTTCTATTTATGCAGATTGCTTTATAATAATAAAGAAGCTGGGTTTGAAGATATTTACATTAAGTCTCAAGAAACAAACGAAGAGAAATAGAACAAGCTAGCTATATCTAAGCCTATACTTAATGATAATTCAAAGTGAACAGATTTATGCTTTGTAAATCTGTTCACTTTGAATTATCATTAAGTATAGGCTTTTTCTTGCATTATGCAGCTGAGATAAAGTTTTAAATTCATATCCATTTTGTGTTATGTCAAAAGATAAAATAATTAAGTTTAATAAAAAAGCACAAACAGAAACAAACAGGGGTAGATAAGGTTGAAGAACTGATAGGAAAGAATTAGAAACTGTTATACCAGACACTATCAATGATCAACTAGCATGAAAGACATTGACATCTTTCATATATCCACATTGTGAATGAATTCAACAGATGTAGTTTTCAGTATTTGTAAAGGAAATTCTCACATGGTATCAATAACAAATGATAAAAGCAGTTCATCAATAATGATAGAGAAAGAAGAAATGATAATGACAACATGAAAGGAACAAACACAGTATTGTAAATTTGCCAAAGAAATAAGAAAAAATAAATTGAAGGAGGAGGAGAAAGTCCCTTTAGAGAATAATGTTAAATGTGCAAAACCTTAAGAAAAAAGCAACAAGGATAAAGAAAGATGTCAAGTGTACTACCAGAAATTATAATTATATGTTTCCCACTGACCTTCATACACAATTCTTCAAACATATACATACAAGACATGTTGCTAAATAGAAAGTAAATTTTTTGTGCAATGAAGAATCAGGCTATAACTTATAGCATGAAGAGAGGCTAAGTAAATTGCTTAAATGTTCTGGTGTGTTGATTAGCAGGGTTACAATGCTCAAGAAAAACCAAGCATGGTGTACGTGATACAAGTAAAGAACAATTTTCATTATTTATTAATACTTCCCAGATGATAATTGCAATGAAGAGAATTATCATGGCTAGCTAGATAAATGTGAGATGAAAAACAATTATTAGTGTTATCTGTTTTGTATACGACAGAAATGAAGTTTCTACATAAAACACTGAAATCTTGGATCTGGAGAAGAAAATATAACTGACAAGACTGCTAGAAGAATGGAGCATTTCCTGAAAAAGCAGAAAGTATTGAAATAAAATACCTGTGTGTGTGTGTGGAAGGAATGATTTAGAGTTAAAACATCCAGAATGATATAAAAAATAGAGTTGTCATTGAGAAGCTATTCAGTACAGCAGCAGATTTCAAGACACTATTCGTATCAGTAGAAAGTAAATGCACATTGGTTTTAAAGGCAGACTAAAAGGCATACATACATAAAAATGTCCCAGAACAACTTTTTCTAAATGAGACAGGTAAAGTATTAAACAGGCAGAGAAAGACTGAATATGAGTCATAATTTTCCTATATTGAAAATGTATTTCGAATAGGTACTTTTCTTCTGCTCACAAGATTAGCTATTCTTGTTTATTGCTGCCCTCTATATGCAACATTTTTATTACGCATGACACAAGCCTTCCACATCCCCCTATTGAAATTAAATGATTGCAACGTGTCTCTCATGCAAATCATCATGCATCACCTATCCACCAACAGGAGCATAGTACACTCTTGTGACTCCCTCTATGTGCCCCCTACTGACTATCACTTCAAAAGTTTGGCAGATGACGGAAGCACCAGAAGTGAGTGGGGAGGAAGGGTGGTAAGTGTGAATGGAGGGAGTACCTATCGGAAATACATTTTAGTATAGGAAAATTATAACTTCTTATACGGTATTTCCCTCCGCTCACAAGATTAACTAGAATTCCACATTGATTAGGAGGAGGGACCAGTGTGAGGGAAGAACAGACGTACCCCCCAAAAGCATCTGAAGGATGCCCCTGTAGATGAGAGAGTCAGATCCAAAGATCTGGAGAGGGGAAACACACCACTTTTGATCCAGGTATACTCTTTTCCCAATTGAGGAATGTGTAAAAATCAGGACACAAAGTGAGAGGAGCACATCCTAGTGGGAGAGAAAGTGATCCTAACCAGAGAAAAATATAGTAATTCAATTCCACAATGAGAAAGTAGGTAAATGAGTATGTGTCCCATGGTGTAGAGAGGCTAGAGTGCGGTTAACAGTACTCAGCAAGTCAACTACATTGAAAACCTCATTGCAGGGTACCAACATCCACATGAGGGTAGGATGAGGATCATACCATCCTCACCTCAAACCCAAGAACCAGGGAATTTAGAAATACTGTGATTCCTGGGTATTACACAGGATGAGCTCTGACTATCAATCCAAGAATGTGACATCTGGTATCGAAAAGAAGTCTATCGCATGCAATCAACTCCCATGGCTGTGAAACAGGTCGGAACCATCCAAAGGACGGTAACATCCACGTAACAAGAAAGAGAACAAGGGAGAGCCTAGGATAGAACCAGAATAGTCCCACGTATCACAACTGTGACCCATCACACAGAAGAAGGAATAGAGGGAGGAAGATAGACAACCTGAAACCTGCATGAAGACTTATGTTGATTGGTTCACTCAAAATCCAAAACCAGCCCGCATGGTACCGACATCCACGAGTGTGTAGGAAGAATGCTCCCAATTGAAGAGGTGAACTGCATTTTGACATCTCTGTTGTATGTGTAATCACAAATAGGAGTATAGTACATCATCTACACCAGCAGAACACCTACTCTGAACTAAATGATTATAGCCAACTTATGTGGAATCCATCCAGCAGGGTGCCTCCTTGGTTAACCACCCCAGCAGCTTGAAAGTGATAAGGACTCCCTTACTCCACTAGAAGAAAGGAGGGTGAGAATGCGTTGGAGAACCCGGAGGAGTGTCGTCACCCGAGACAGTGCAATTTTGAAAAGCAGATCATACCAATTTATTCAATCATGGCAGGGATGGGCAACTATCCCCTTCAACTTTACCCATGAAGTTCATGGGTGGTACGGTCCAGAAAGGGCCAATTTATGAAGCAAATATCATGAGGTTAATCACCTACAAGTGATCTTGTGAAACACTCAATCACAAAGGTGAACGTATGGAGACATGGAAGGAAAGTGCTATTCAACATGGCATACAGTGCAGGTTTAGAGTTAAAGAATACTTGGCCAGGCACCACTTGCCACAGAGGGGATCCAAGTAATGAAGGTATGAAGATTGGGCCCCTGAAAGAAAATAAATGATTATTACAGACTTACCCAGTATTGGAGTAGTTGCACCGAAGATTAGAGTGTAGCTACAGGCAGAAGGAGAAAACCCAAGAAAGCCAAAACCGCGATATGATGTAAATAATGGGAGATTAATGTGTTAGGGTTAGTCCACATGCCCGATTGTAGGATTTCCTCCAGAGGTTGATGAAGATGAGAAGCGAAGGAAAAGGTGAAAAGTCAGAGTTGATGAGCAATACAAAGTACAAGGAGGAATAAGCCAACTGGATCAAATGGTGAACCCAAATGGTTAGTGTAAAAGGAGAGTGATCCCTGGACAAATAGGGTTGCCAAGGGATAAAGAGATGGGAACTATGGAAGGAAGTCGTGTGAGTAATATAAAAATGAAGAGCATGCACAGGACATAGAAGTCTATCCAGATCAGGAAGGGGGTAGAGATGAGAAATAGAGGGTAGGGAAACAGGCGAAAAAAGGATGAGTTACCCTCACTAACCGCTGAGGTTTTGTGGAGTAAGGAACGATCCAGATAAAGGAGAAGATAGGTATGGTGGTAAAGTGGGCATGTAATGTCAATGGCAAACACGTCAGACTGTTGACGCCCATCAGCCAGAAGAAGAAGGAAATATGCCTTAGGGGACAGATGAAACAAAGAACATGAGGATATAGGTTCAAATGGAGGACCATGCTAATATCCAAATCTGGAAGGGCAGGTCATCAAATCCAGAAGGAATGGATTAACATGGTAAGGATGGGTGAGAGAAAAATCCTGCAGTAACGAGAAAGGCAAATGGTATGGGGTAAAGCAGCCCGATAACCTGAAATCGAGGAGACTGAAGACCCCCAATCAAAAAGCCATGTGAGAAAATGAGTGACACCAGCAATAGTAGGGTGAGCAGCCGGAAATCCCCGAGCCTGGGCCCATGTGCAAAAAGACCTTTCACTTTCACTGATACACTTCCATGGAGGAAGGATGAGTGGATTGGGACAAATGAAAAGCTACATGACAGGAGAAACCAGATCTCCTTGCCAAGGACTGGACAAAAGCCAGGCGTGAAGACAGAGGACATGAAGTGCAGGATGTAGAACCAGTGACCAGGGTTGATGAAGGAGGTCAGGTAATAAGGGAAGTGGTACTAGAGGGAATAATTGTATGTGGAGTAAACAAGGAAAGCATGATCGAGCTGGACAGTAGGGAGCAATCAGAAGGACCCAGCATGGGGTGGCATGGATCAGGGAAACTACCAGATAAAGTAATCGAATAGGAGGATAAACATATAGGAATTTGTGTGCCCACTCTTGGATGAAAACATCTATAGCTAAAGCCCGAGGATGAGGAACCATGGACCAAAAATAGGGGTAACCAAAATAGCATTGATGTAAAGAACATTCCACAGACTGCAAAGCCACCAGAAAATAGGGGGTGAAGGGACCACTCTGTTGGGTAAAACAGATGATCCCCCTACAAGGTTGAAAGCACCCGGGACATGACATGCAACTTAACAGAAGGGTTGCACCTGGGCCCAATATAGGAGATCTAATGCACAAAAACAAAGGGATCTCAACTGGTTGCCACTTTGGTGATTGATATAAGCTACCACTGTGAAATTGTCCAAATGGATCATTACTTGACAACGTTTGGCAATGGGAAGAAAGTGATCCAAAGCCCAATGAATGGCTAGGAGCTCTAGGATGTTGATATGTAAAGATTGTTCATCTAGAGACCGACAACCTGAAGCTTCATGTTGATTGACCCATGTACCCCAGCCCTGAAGGGATGCATCCATTAACAGATGTAATTCCAGATGAGGAGGAGGAAGTGGGACACTCGCTGATGTGTGATTCTTGTCCAACCACCAAAGGAGATTGTTTACAAGGGAAGGAGGAAGGGTGATAGGAGTTATCAAGGGATCCCGAGCAGGGTTCAATTGATAATGCAGAGTCCACTGAAGGGAGTGTGTTCACAGCAGAGGGGGATTAGCAATATCATAAAAAATTACATCTCCAAAAGCAACAGAAACTCGCATACAGAAAGTGAGGAAGCAGACAGGGCATAGTGAACTGACAATTCCATAGAATGGAGTCTAAAAGAAGAAAGCTGGGCCTGACTGAGATGAGCATTGAAAAAGATTCCCAAATGTAGAAGGTATTGGGCAGGACTTCTCCAATTTGATCAACCAGCCTATCTAAAATGAACCAGAATTAGCCAGTCGTCCCTGTAAAAATGAAAACACAGCCCCAGGGCATGAAGATGAAGAACAAAAGCTTGTACCACCTGACAGAAAATGTACAGAGATGAAGCCAGCCTAAAGGGTAGGCACAAAATTGGTATACCACCCCTCGAATAACAAACCGAAGATAAGGATGAGACCATTCTGAGATGGGAATATGCAGATAGGCATTAAAGACATCCATCTTGGTCTTCCATAGAGCTGGAGAAAAAGCCAACCAAAGAATGAGGTAAGACTCCATGGTGAAATGTGGGAGATGAACAAAGCGATTGAGGCGGGGCAGATCTATGATAGGCCTCCAGTCCCCGGTATTTTTGAGAAAAACAAGGTTCTATAGCCTGTTGGGTAAGGAGGTAATTTATTACCTCTGATAGATGCTGACAAGTTACTGGATCCCGAGGAGAAGGGAAGGAAACAGGTATCTGGGACAAGAAACAGAATTCTGAATCCCTGTGATAAAACTTGAAGAACCCAAACATCCAAGATGAAAAGGTGCCACCAATGAACGAGAGTCACAACGTAAGCCCCCTCCCCTCCCCCACTAGGCCCAAACCCACCAGAATTGTTGGTGGCATATCGTGCATTGTCAAGAAAAATGGCAAGCCATGGCACCCCAGAAAGAAGGGACAGGTAAAGGAGAGGAAGGGGAAGGATGGGAAACTGAAATAGGTGCCACACTTGGCTCTGACTGAGATAAATGGGAAACAGTAGATTGTTGCTGGACAGATGCCACCCGAGGCTCCAAGGATTCCGGGACTGTAACAAAGACGAAATGCCTTAAAAACAGAGCCATACATAAATCCTGGAGATAAGGAGCAGGTAAACAGGTTCGAGATAAAACAGCATCATGACCTAAAAGGTCCCAGCAACAAAGATACTACGTTTGTAAAGCCAGAGCCAAAGATAATAAATGAGCCAACGTGGAGGTAAGGAGGGAGAGGGTGTCCCCAGAAAACCCCTCAGGACTTCTGTGAAGAGCCTCAGACAGGAGATGGATCATGGAAAGGTACCACAAAAGGGTCATGAGGGTATGATGGAGGTGGGAAAATTGGGCACAGGTGAGACTAATGGGAGATTCAAGGCCCACCCCCAAACGGACAAAACTGAACCCTAACAGCTGTTGGTCGAGACATGGACAGTCTTCCCTATGAAATGTGAGGGCCGACTGATCCGAAGACCATGGAGAGGAGAGGCATACTATAACACTATCGCACGACTGAGAGTCATTTTTGCCAGTATGAACCCATATGTCATGGGACAGGGGAAACACCAAACAGAGTTAGGAAGTATATTCAGGAAATAGGTCATAAGATATAGGAGCGAGGGATAAAATGTTACGTACCTGAGAAATAAAGTCCAAAAAATGTGGAAGGCCAAACATAATCCTCAGGGAGGGTATGGGAAGGCACAGCACAATTAGGAAGTGGAAACAGGTGAACAAAGTCCTCATCAGCCTGACCAGATTCCACAGGTTCAGGAGGAAGAGGGGCAATGTCTGGAGATAAAGGTTGACCTATATAAAGTTCAATCTCCTTGCAAATAATAAATGTAGACAAATCTCCTGTCAGATTACCTGCATCTGAAGCCTGTGGTATAGCACCTGTTGATTGTGTGACACCCAAAGTGATGACATTAACTTTGGAATTCAAGGTGATGTAATGGACAAAAGCATTTGAAGTAAATAATAAATGCAACTAGAATAAGGGTAAGTGAATTGAAATAATGTAAAAAGAAACTGAATATTTTAGGTTAAATTAAATCACTTCAAGAAAATACAATTTCAAACACAAAACCAGACAAAAAAAGAAAGATGTCTGAGTGTGAGCCCTGCCAAACAAGAAATAGTAGTTCGGGAGAGGCACATAGAAGGTCACGTGAGTGTACTATGCTCCTATTGGTGTACAGATGATGCATGATGATTTGCATGAGAGACATGTTGGAATCATTTGATTCCAATAGGGGTGTGTGAAAGGCTTGTGGCATGCATAATAAAAAAAAAGTTTGCATATAGAGGGCAGCAATAAAAGAGAATAATTAATCTTGTGAGAAGAGAGAAGAACCATATCGAAACTTTTATTTTGTGTGTGTGAAGCATAAACTTCCAACCAACAAGTTTCTTTTGCCAAAAGAGTACTAGTTTATATTACCAGTGAATATTTAATCTTACTGCACTTACAACAAACTGTTGATGTTTTGTGGAACAATAAAACTTATTGTAGGTAAGAATTAGTTCTTTCAATATAAGATGGATTAACAATGTCTGAATCTCACTCATCTATTTGCATTACCTTGCTTGTTTTTAAAAATTTTTGTTAAACTAGTGAAAACTAATCCAAATTCAAACAATTCTACACATAAGTTATTTGAAAAATTACAAAGATATTATTAACTCAAGTTTATTTGCAAACTTATGATTTTCAAAATATACTGAATAAAATTTGGAGTATAATTTATAATGTATCACGTAACACACATTTTTTTAATGTTATTTCCAAGCTGTTTCAAATAATGATTCCTAAAATTTGTGAATGGTTTATAACAGATCTTTAATAATACTAACAAATCTAATGAATGAGAAACTGAGATAACAAGAACACTATGACAAAAATCTGAATTTAGTCTTTTCACTGAAAGTTTTAATCCATAACTTAAAATAATAATAAAAGTTTAAAGCCCACAAACTTATGTAGAATTATCCAGGAAACAAAAATATTTATCTTAATTAAGTTAATTTCAAGAAAGTAAGAAACCTAAAAAAAGAGTTATAATGCTTTTAGAATGGGTTTGCCTTCAGATGTTGTAGAGGCAGTAAATTTAAGTGAGTTTAAGAAAAAGCTTGATAAGTATATAAATGATAAGGGAATACTTTAAGGTTTTTTTTAAATTACTTTAATTCAGTTTGGAGAATGGAACAGCCGAGATGGACCAATAGGTCCCATGTTGTCCCAAAATATTATGTTATGTTATGCTAAAGAGGAGATTTTATATAGTAACTTTATAAATTAACATACTTCAGAGTTTTCTGTAACCTTTGGAGAGAATCCACAGCAATAGGGTGTCGACGTGTCCTCAGAAAAGCAGTGACTTCCTTCAAAAGAGATTGGCTTGGGGCAAATAGACCTGTAGCTAGCCACATCAACTCCCATCCTCGTTCCTCACTCAGTCTGTTTGTGTTGGAAGATGCTTAAAATAAATAACTCAACAAATTTGGGTTTAGTTATTGTAAAAGTATATTTTAGTTTTGAATTTCAAGGAATGAAAAATTCAAAAACCAATCAAATTAAAAGGTTTGGGATAACTAAACATAAAAGCTAAAAATCGATATGCTAAAGAAAACTAACTAATTTATTCAATCAATATTTTATTATTTTTTTCACATAATAGGTACATGAATTAAATACAAATGGTTTTTTAGAAACATATAATGATTCTTTAAACATATAAAGGCTTCTGTATTTCACCTCACTCTATCAAATTCAGGAATGCCCATTGCCAGGCACAACTGACAGTTTTGATTTCATATCTTTCATGGTAAGGGAATACTGTGAAACGTTTATACAGTTATCATTTAAAACAGCATGAAAATGGTCCAAAACTGTCTAACAGCGTAAATTTATACATATTTTTTCAATCAAAAATATATTCAATCATTCATTAAGATTTGGCACAGAAATGATGTCACATTGAGTAAATAGCTGTGAAAATTCCTTGTAAATACTCTCAATATTAATCATCTTGAACATTTGCATAAATTCAGAGGAAAAACATTTAGTGATATGCTATGATAATACCTTGAATAAGGCTATGGCAAAACAGTATTCAAATTCAACGTTCTGTATTGGAGGCAGTAACAGTACACAATTTGTAAAGGCTGGTGGACATGAATGTTCTGATAAGACTTAAATTTCAATATTTAAAACTATTTTAACATATACACTATTCATCCTAATTCAACTAACACATAAACTAAAATGAAGAAAGGATTAAAATACTAAACGAAAGCTTTAATTTACACTAAGCATTAATTCTAAGTAATATATATAATTTTCTTGCCTGTTTTTATTGTCAGTCAGTTGCTTTATGATTTGACAATAAATTTCATCCCTGAGAATCTCCTATCAAATGAATAAGAAACTAATTTATGGTGTTTCAAGCAATCAAGACAAAATTTACGTATATGCAACAACAACTTTTCAATTATCTTGAATATTAATTAATACTTGTCTCTAATCTGCTCATTAAAATATGTGCAAAAACTTATTTTTGAAATTTAGATCCAAAGTAAAAATAAAAAAGTACAAAACCATACATATGTGTATGAAGTTAATATCTTATTATCCTAATTATATTTATAACATTTTATGTTACAATAAAGTTACATAAAAAGCCTTCTCATTTTATTATATTTATCTAATCTGCTCATTAAAATATGTGTAAAAACTTATTTTTAAAATTTAGATCCAACGTAAAAATAAAAAGTACAAAACCATACATATGTGTATGAAGTTAATATCTTATTATCCTAATTATATTTATAACATTTTATGTTACAATAAAGTTACATAAAAAGCCTTCTCATCTTATTATATTTATTAACTTGATCTTGTAGCAGGAAAACAGGGTCACTAACAGATCTTTCAGCAAGTGATATTTTTGCCATGTATTTATTTCTTACAAATTTATTTTGGAAATTGTTTTTCTATTGCAAAAACAATTTTAATATTTTAAATATTTTTTTCCACTACAATTTGAAAGGTAACACGACTAAAAGAGAATTCCATATGTTAAATATAATAGTTTATGTCTGTCTGAGCTAGTAATGTTCAGTATACAATGTTGAAATTTAAATAAATATAAAAAGACAGTCAGTTACAAAGCCAAGCTAAGTCCACATAGGTTTATTTATTTTTAATTCATTAAGTAACAAGTTAACTTTGACAAAGTCGTGAACATTTATTCATTTTAGGTGTAAAAGTATATACATGAAGTAATAATTACTTACATGTTTTAGTGGCCCTTCAAATATCTGATCTGTTAATTCATTTCCTGAGCGAGTTCTTCTAGATGGAAGATCACCCATATACTTCAAAAGAGGTATTCTGCTAAGGACATATTCTGTTTGGTAAACATATTCAAGTCTATGTGTTTGTACAAGTGATGATTAATGGTCTTCTTAAATAATGTACTTTAATGTTAAAGGTAAGGATGATATGTAAACATTCATGTTACTGATGTGATGTATTATCTAATTGTGAAACCAATGTGGAAATGCATTCATTGTATAACATTTTTTATATTTCATTACGACATAAGAATAATGCTGTATCACTAAATAATCATTAAACTTGTGCTTCCTAATCATATAAAGAAAGAAAAAGAAATGTTATGTACAGAACAATCTCATAGAAGCTGGTATTACTAGTATTGTGCTCCAGTAATTAATGATCATTAACAATCCAAAAATAAGATACAAGGTATTTGATAAATGGAACCTTATAATTTGTAAAATCCTACAACTTTAAGAGGTAAAACAAGTCTGATATATGATGTTAAAATAAATTAAAATCATGTAAAGAAAAAAGGATATCACTAAAAGCAAAACAAGCTTCTTGACTCATTTCTTCTTTGTTCAATAACTTTTTGAGAAGTGGTTGTTTAATAGGTTCACGAGAGTGGCGCCATAATTGATCGTTGTCTTTTCGACGGGCAGAAGATAGTGTCAATGTCCGTGGTATTGTTCTTTTTGGCGGAGGTCTAAAAGGTGAAAATACGATCTTCAGAAATAATACCTTCTCACTTAAAACTTAATACAAAATAAAATATTTGTAGTTTATCAAAGAAAAACTTTTACTAATTATAACCAAGCAGGTGTTGCAGACTAAAATGGTAAAATACTTGCCAGTTTTTACATTAAACTAGGAAATCCTCACACATAAAACATTAATATTTTACAGAGGACTTCTAGTGCAAAACAAGTAGTTGAATATGTTTATCCATGAACAGTAAACTGAAACTAACTGATTTTAAAGATATTGTGAATAACATCTGTCTACATTAAAACAGTATATACTAATTAGCTTAGTCATTCACTCAATAAAGTTTGACATAAACAGTGTAAAAAAAAAAGGGACCTTAAAAGCAAACCTACTGAAGAGTGGATAAACAGCATTGAAGACATAATCCAAAAATGCATAATATATTCAAAGAAATTTACAATTAACAACTATGAACAAATTATGAATAAAAATGGAAGCTAATGAATATTTACATCCTTTACAAAGTACATGTATTATCATTGCTATTGATAAAGCTTTCAACAACTTTGTTTTCACTTGTAAAATATTTTATATTACAACTTGTACAACTATATATTTTTTGTTGATATAACATTTGTAGAATTTGGTCAATGTGTCTTTGTGTAAATATACAGAACGCCCATGGAAGGTAACCTCAATTTGCTAGCTGAAGATGTGTATTTATTTGAACTTGAATTTTCATTGATAACAAATCTTAGTAAAAATGGTTATATGAAAGCTTTGCTCATTAGTCACACTTATAGATATAGTGATGATATTTTTGCTCTGAATTATCAAGATTTTATTGATGCTGCCAAGAAATTTATCCACCAGACATCACTCTGGAAAAAAAAAAACAAACTTGAAAACAAACAACATTAAAATAGACTTAGTACATGTAACGGTACTTTAGGCTTAGGTATATTTAAACTTACTGGTAAATCATAAAACAGGATAAATACATTGTTTTATTAAATAAATACAATCTAAAAACTATTTTATTGTCTCTTGGTGTTTTAAGAATTAACTTGTTTACTTAAACTTAGATCCATTAGTTTAAATTAAGCTTATAGATATAGGTAGGTTATAATATAAATCAGGTTAAATACATTTTATTATTAACGTTACGTATATTGTTCTAATAAATTATTAAGTTCTGTATAATTTAAAATCAACTTTATTACTTTAGTTTGAAGACAAAGTAGTGATAAAAAAATAATATAATTGGTTCTTAAACGTTAGGCTTAACAGTAACAGTGTTGACAATAGGCTACTTGAATTTGATAATGAATATTTTCAGGCTATAAATATAAATACAATGGCTAAGACTAGCGTAGGAGTTAAATGTTCACAGTATGTTAGGTGTAAAAGGTGCAATGAGTGGGTTTTATTAGGGGACTCAGGACTGGAATGTACTTCTACGGAAGCTAGTAATGAAGATGTGCAATTTTTATGTAGAGTTTGTAGATTAGAGGAGAAGTTAGAGGCAATCATGCTTAATGTAAGGCAATAGATAAATAAAAGTGTAGACTGTGGGAAATGGTAGCAGGATTTCAGGAGGAGCTTAAGCTTATACATGCAAGGGATATATCAGCTAACAATAACTTTTAGGAAATTAGAAAAAGCACTATTAAAACAAAAAGTAGTGAATTTAGTTATAATGAGCCTATTCTGTTGAGCAACAAATTTCAGCCCTTGGCTTCTGCAGATGAGGAACTATTGGAGGGAAGGAAAACAGAAGGGTCAGACAAGGATGTGGATGATAAGGAGGTTATAGTTACAGGTGATTCCTTGACAAGGCATATGGATAAAATAGTCTGTGGGGTAAATAGGGAGAAAAGAATTAGATTATGCTACCCAGGGGCACAGGTGGAGGATATAACTGACAGATCAGGAGATATAATAAAGGGGGCTAGCAGAGATGCAGTTTTTGTAGTGCATGCAGGGGCTAATGATGTAGGGAAAGGTAGGTCAGAGGCGCTAATTAATAAGTACAAGGGGTTGAAAAAGGCATTTAAAGAAAAAAACATAACTTAATTTTGTCAGGGATACTGCCTAGAATTAACAGTGGGGATGAAGTTATAAGTAGGTCACTAGAGCTAAATGTTATAAACCATCCATTCCCAAAAGCTCACTACTTCCACTGAACTGATCCCACATGTCCAAACAACCAATCATCTCATCTTTACATACTAACTCTTACCATTTAAATAGGGTAGGGGCTGGCTTGCTTGCTAAAGCTATTAACTCAGGTGTAAGGGAAGTTTTAAACTACGACTAGACAGTGGTGAGGGCCAGGAAAAACTAAATGCAAAAAGAATAACAGGGAGAGAAAAATTTAGCATAGGAAATGAGTATAGAAGTAGTTATAAGGATGGGCTTAATTCTTACTATTGTAAGGCTAGAAGTATAAGAAATAAAATAAATTACTTTAGAACACTGGTAGGAATTAAGGATTTTGATATAATGAGAATAACTGAAACATGGTTAAACATAAATGATTTTGATGACAGAAATTTCTTTGAAATACAGTGTTAGAGGGTATTTAATAGGGATAGAGTATTAAAGAGGGAGGGGGGAGAAGGGGTGACTTTATATGTAAAATGTGAGTTTCATTCCATTGAAGTTGAAGATATCAAAGATAATAGCAAGGAGATAGAATCCATTTAGGTTTCTATTAGTGGATATAAAGGGAAAAGGCTTTTAGTGGGAATTTGTTACATATCACCAAATGATAATGATGAAATTAGTGGGAAACTTTACAATGAGATTAAGATTTCAGCTGTTAATGAAGTCAAAATTATGGGTGATTATAATTTCAGCCATATAGATTGGGAAATGCTTGAGTCAAATGTCTTTAAATATAGTTTTACAAGTCATTATTTATGTGTTCCAAGATGGTAATATGCAAAAGAGAAGACAGGTTCTTAAGTGCCTTAAATTCAACAAATGGCAACCAGAACTTGCCAATAAGTATTTTAATTTGACTCTCATAACTGGTAATTTGCTGCTAATCAAAAATAGTATAAAATATAACATTTTTTTATTGTTAGATATATATCATAGCTCAAACATTACACTTGAGGTTCATACTAGAAATTTGAGCTGAACTTCCTCACAGGTATGGGTTCTAGGCTTGAGCAATGTTTAGAGTTCTGTTAAACATAAATTCAATGATATTTTGAACCTTGAAATGGTTAAGTTTAAACAACATACCAAATTTTATGCTCCCCTCTCTCTTCTGATTACCTCAAGATATGTAATGCTATTTTATGTGACAAAATAATTTTTTGTGTTTGTAGTTATACACAAAGTGGCACAATGGGCTATCTGTGCTCTGACCACCACTGGTATCAAAACCCAGTTTCTAGGATTGTAAGTCCGCAGACATAGGTCATTGTGGGGTGACATAAAATAATCTTTACTAGTGAGGATAACATAATGTCAGTGTTTAGACGACTAGAATAGTATCATTTTAAAGTGAACCCCTAAACAAAAAGTAACTATTACAATTTTTATATAAATTTAATAGTTGGAACACACATTTTTTTTGTGTTTAAGAAGGTAAGAAATTATTTAGCTATTTAATTACTTATATGAAAAGAAATAAATACTTTTTACAAAACTACTTTTCAAACCTCTGAAATTTAAAAAAGTGATAAGCACAGATATCATTCAGCTAGAATCTTGCTCATTGAACCATTTAAATACAAAGGTGTTTGTTATTTTACATACTGTTGTTGTTTATTATAATTCATAGCCAAGTAACTGAAACATTTTTTCTTTTATTAACACATGAAACTATACAGCATCAAATTCCACATGCACACACACAAAGTGGGAATAAATGTTTTACCTAAAATGGTCAAGTGCATACTCCTCTAACGTATGGGGTTTGTCTTGTGGTTCAGGCCCATTAGACTGAGGATAGGTAATAAGTCGTTTTCCTTGTTCCGCTCCTTCCAGTGTAAATAATGACAAGATGGCAAGTGGTGGTTTGGCTAAGCAAGGCAACACGTAAACACATTCTGATGGGAAATCACCTTTCTCACCAGTCTTCTCACTTCTTCCTGTGCACCACGTGTTCTTGGCCACTGCATCTCCTAAGTTACCATCTTCTAGAACAATCAAGTCTCCTTTGTTAAATGACAAGTAGGACTGTGATTCTCCTGCAAGACAGAATGGTAGTAATTAAATAGTGAACTTAAGTAATTTCTCAGCTTCATTAAATATTCAAAACACACATATCATAAAGTAAACAAAAATTAAAAAGAGGAAAAATATTATGCACATTAATGAGCTTAAATACACACTAATTTTTGTTGATATTTGAATCAACATACAATTATGAGAAAATTAAATATAATATTATGTCTTTGGATTTTCCTTAAGCTCCCTGAACAACTAATATAGCCGCACAAACTAAAAGCTAAGAATTTGGCTGTGTTGAAAGCTGAAAACAAACAATACAAAAACACCATACTATTTTTTTATTTAACATAATTAAATAAATATACATAGATGTACATTGTGTTTTTGATTTAAAAATAAAAATATTTATAAGAACTTAACAACTTTGTCAACTCCAGTGAAATTACACAGGCCTGCAATGGTTTTATTGTCTTGAAATTTTTACATGTTATACAGTAATTCCTGTACACTGAATATGAAAATGATATCCATTTTTCACCATCATATACAGATTTTTTACAAAACGTCGTATGTACTTTTACATAAGTTAATCATTTTCATTGAAATTGGGTCACATTTCGTTATGCTTAAAATGTTGACAACCACTTGCTATAGATTTCTCTAGATCAATTGTGATAAGAGATTCTTATTGATCATTCTAGAATCCATGAGAAACACACCACTAGTATATAAACGGTTAACAGGCTGCATGATGCATCATTTCTGAACAGTATATGTTTGTGCATGCACTTTGATATTATTTTCTCTCTTCAATGCTATTTATTCATCGCTATGGCAACAAGAAGTAGTATAAATGACCCAAACATATTCTGTTATAGCTGTGGTAAATTTGTTGTAAAGAAACAAAGATAAAACATTACAGAATTCATCAAAAAAAGTGTATTACGCATATTTTGGAATAAAACTTGGGAACCACGACAAATCATGGGCTTCACACAAAGTTTGCACCATTTGTGTCGAGGGGGGTTGAGACAATGGACTAAAGGTAAGAAAAAGTCTTTGCCTTTTGGAATTCCAATGGTCTGGCATGAGCCTAGAAACCACAGAGATGACTGCTGTTTTTGCTCATGTAACGTGCAAGGCTACAACACTCGAAATAAAAAGGAAATTTCTTATCCAAACCTTCAATCTGCTATAACACCTGTTGCTCATGGATCTAATGTACATGTACCTACTCCACTGGATACC